AAACCTGATAGTAAAGACCACTTATTTTACATTTAACGGCAGTATCTATGAGCAAATATTTGGAGTACCGATGGGATCTCCATTCTCACCTCTTTTGGCAAATGTATATGTGGACAAATTGGAAAGGGAATGCGAAAAATCACCATTATAACAAAAAACGCTTATGTGATACCTGGATGACTACTTTCCACTTTGATCGCATGATAATGAAAATTTGTACGAATTCTTCAATTTAATTAACCAACTTGATTTACGAATTAAATTGACAATGGATAGGGAGGATAAACTACTAGACATCCTGGATATTAAAGTCATGCGCTCCAACGGGACACTCATGGGGAGATTAGTCAGAAAAATTTCATATGCAGGAATAATCTTTAATTTTTTGTCTCACCATTACTACAGTCTGAAGATAGGAATATTGAGGAATTTGATCAGAAGCTTAAACCAACGGACACTGATTCTTGGGAAGAGGAGTTGGGCAAACTGACTCGGATTTGCCTTAGTAACGCGTACCCCAGAAAAATTGTAGAAAGAAATGTAGGTGTCATAAAGAGCAAATTACAACTTAGATATTATGAAAATCAGATCAGGAATCAGGACGATCAAAAGTGCATATGCCTGCCTTCATATGAACGGAGCCAAAAATTGCGACCGTTACTAAGAAAATTGAATATCAAGGTGATAACAAATAAGACAACACTTTTTACCAATCTGCCTACGCAACAAACTGAATTGGTCGGGAGTCTATTGCATCAAATTCGGCAAATGTGAGCAGAAGTATATTAGTGAAATAGGAAGAAAAATTGGCCAACGAATCAAAGAACATCAAAGACTGTAAAACATGGATACGGAAAGATACGAATTAGCGGAACACATTGCATGGACGGGACATGAAATCGAGAGAAAGGCTGGCTGTATATGGTAGAAAAACAAATAAGCGCAAAATAAGAAAAGCCATCGATATCCTGACAGGAAGAAATTTAATGAACATGAGACTTGAAGAAGGCAGGATTAGCAAAAACTTAGCATTCTGTCTAAGCAAACTTGGAGAAGATCAGGAAATAGAAGACGACTGGATCAAGGTAACATCTTTAATATTAGGAAAAGAAATCGCAAGGAGACCGGAAAGGAACAATCGGAAACCAAGGAGACGTCTACAGTGAGCATAATCACAACAGGTAGAACCACAACATTTGTGGGTTGGCTTAGGAAGTCGTAGAAGAAGCACGATAGATTCGGCGAGGACCAAAGCTGGTTGGCTAGCAGTAGCGTATTTTATCATAGATGTGGTCCATGAAGCAAAGGCTTGACGATGTAAATTACTCAGAACCTATAGCCTCAACTTAGTCTCCAAGCCAGCATACAAATCCAGACCTTATCGGTCTACTAGGTGAGGTGGGAGTATATGTGCCATCAAAAGCTTGGGGTAGGGGGTGGAAAATAATTCCCCGAGTAAGACAGATAGTGGCAGGGATCAAGTGGAATACGTGAACCAGGGAGATAGGAAGCCGATCTACAGGGCAAGAGGGAGATTCTGATATGACTTGTGGGAAGAGGATTTCAGAATAATATGGCAGATTTAGATCAACGTTGGACAGTGGTAGGGAGTTAGCGAGCCTGGGGTGTAAATAGGTCTGATAAAATCTATTCAAAATGGTACACCATGCTACATTCAAATAAGCAATTAGGAAATTGTGATAGTGAAGGGGTGGTAGGACATATGATAGATGAATAGTCCAGGACAGGAGGGATATCACAACAGTTTAGAAGACAATTGGTCAAATGATCTACTTCATTTGTCTCTTTGACGAGTTGTAGTGTGGTGCAAAAAATGGCAAGGCTCACTGATGATGTCGGTGAAACGTCTGGGAATGTACCAAGCTCACAGTCCGAGTCTGGAAATTGTCATGCATACAATGGACTCCAGACAAGATGCTTTCCTCTGGGTCTTTTTGCCAATACAACCAAGATTCGAAAGAAAGGTCAAGCAATTACTAAGGATAAGATAGCTTCATACTTTTTAAGAGGTTGCGCTACTGTGCCATATTCTTGTAACCTCGTTAATCAATACGGTCATTTTTTGTGCTATTCTGTAGACAAGAGCCATAGGTTCGAGTAGACAGGTGCTATCCTGAAGAAATTTCTCTAGACATAAATTTTAATCTGCAGCTTAGGCCTGCTATCCCTAACAAAGCTAGTCTGAATGAGATGTATTCACCAATGATGTAGGACTGGTAATAGAATTTTCCCACAATAATAATAATAACGTATGTTTCCATTGAATTTCACAGAGCTTTGCTTTTCCAAAAGTTGCTCTCCTCCAAATTGGACTGCAGTTTCGATCTCGCATAGGTCGTATCAACACCCCCAGCGAGAGTCAAACCGTAACAGTGCAGCATGAGTTTGACACGTTAACCATTCGGCCACATTGCCACGAGTGCCCTTGGGTCACAGGGCAGATTTGAATTTAAAGGAAAGCTAGCCCTTTTCCTATATTATATTCTTTGGTGGGATTGTCGATGAAGAAAACGTATTTTTGCCATAATAATCGACAACATTACTTATTTTTCGTATAAGTAGAGTATCGAGACTAAGAGTAAATCAGTAGACCGACTTAAAACATAGTTATGGAAACAAGAGAAAAAACAAAGCAAAATCACTTTTGCTCTCCACTTCTGATGACGAAACTGTAAGCTTGTTGAGCAGATTTGGCGGAGTGCAACTTGAACTAGAACCAGGACAGGGCATTTCAATTAGATCAGTGCTATCCATTCTAACACCCAAAGCCTCGTTGACGCCATTAGCATTGGGAAGCTGCCCCTCAAGTTGTGACTTCCGATGATGGTGGTGATGATGCCGATGCCCATGTCCACGGTGTCGGTGCTGATGATCGTGATGGCGATGATGGTGACGATACTGTAGGTTACTGTCATGAGTAGCTACAGAGGTTCCCGTAATCATGACTGTTCCCGACGGTTCAAGACTGGTACTTGCAATGACAGCAGCAGGGGTCACTAGGTCACCGGACTGACTGGAGGGTTCTGTGTCAGCCAGCTCTTTAGTTAAGCGGCGACGCTTGTCACAATGCCGCTGCCAGTGTTTTTCGAGGTAGCGCGACCACCGATGGTGATTTAGTCTGGTGAAGTCGAGCTGGCGCGATGCTATTAACTCCAGATAATTGGCCAAGCAAAGTAGCTCGCGGTCAGTTGCATTATTCACGTGGGCATCACGAAAAGCATGAATCTATACGAAAAATAGTAATAATGGGGGAGTACGAATGAGTGAGCAGGAAAAAATTAGTATAATAACTTGCTCATCGTAAATATATATATATATATATATACAAAGACCAAGATATTGTGGACTCAATTTAGGTCGCAGTCTCCTTTCGATGTATAGTAGTTGTTTGACATTGTTTTTTTCAAATTGGTCATATTAGCAAGAGGACCTAGAGGAACGCACCTAGTGCGGAGTCCATAATATGCATGATAATTTCCAGAGTCGGGAGGTGGACTTAGTACATTCCCAGACGTTCCGCCGGCATCTTAAAGGAGTCTTGCCATTCTCAGCACCAAAGTACAACTCGTGAATGAGACAAGTTTCGGGAGAAAGTTGGTCAAGGGATAGACTTCACTTATCTCTCTAACGCGTTGTAGTGTAGTGCTGAGAATGGCAAGACTCAGTAACGAAACGTCTAAGAACGTACATGTCTAAGGTCAGATTGTGGAAATCATCATGCAAACTATAGACTCCGGATAAGATTCGTTCCACTGGATCTTCCTGACAATGTGACGAAGTTAAGGAAACAGAGTCAAACTACTTAGTCATCTTAAGTTGATTAAGCAAACTGATAATGTTGGGGAGACCTT